AAAGCCTGACTCAGACCAAACCGAGAGGCTTTAGAAATTAAGATTTCACTCTACTATACATGTAGAACCATGTCGTTTCTTGGGTATTCCATTAGGGAATGTTTGTGCTGCTTGTGCGGTGGAACAATTCCAATACAAGCTGCACGAAATGTAACCTATTGTGTAATATTAGTCTTACTAACATTGCAAGTTTGCATATTGTGTTTGTTGATTGTTGATCTCTACTTTGTATACAGACTGTCAATGAGGAAGGAGGTTTTGAGTACATCACCAGGAAGAAAAAATGGTCAAATGTGGCCAGAAAGGTATTGCTTTGTAATATTATTTTTATTAATGTTTTAATATGTTGCCTTCTGAAAATATCACTGGAAGAATATCTGTGTATAACTTGTTATTCAGTGCTTTCAGTAAGACTTGGCAACCATTAGAGTGCCCGTGGGTATTCTGTTGTGAATCACCACCATCAATCAGCGGTTTAGAAATATTGGCCCTCTCGATGAAGTTGAAATTATAGGTCTCCGCTATTGCTCACTGTAGAGATGCAATGGCCTCAAGGTTAGTGCGCTCACCTCCGTATTGAGCGGTCTGGTGTTAAGCCCTGGCTGTGAACATTGCGTTGTGTTCTTGGGAAAACGCTCTACTCTCACAGTGTTTCTCTCCACCCAGGTGTATGAATGGGTACTGGCAAATTTAATGCTGGGGGGGTAACCCTACAATGGACTAGCTTCCCATTCAGGAGGGATGTCACAGGCAACTTACCTCGTTTCCATTGGTAACAATATCAACAGCCCTGTGTCACCTTTAATGTCGCATACAATTTTGCACACTTTGCTGCTAATGACGTCAAAGGCTGACAAGTTACCACTGGAAACGGAGCCAGTTGCCATGACAACAATGCCATTTTCACATTAAAACCTGATGACCAAACTTTTGTTGCACCTTACTCAACTGATAATGGTAGTATGTTATACATAGACTGATGAACACCTTTGTGTTACTATCTCCACAGATGGGCTATGTTCTTGGCAAGTCAGCCCCGTCTCTCTTACGAATGAACTATGAAAGGTACCTTTACCCTTACGATATTTTCCAAGCAGGTGCTTTCACTGGGGAACCACCGCCTTTGGTAAGGCAACAACACACTTTAAATGCCTCTTCATGCAGTAACAGAAATGCTGAGAAGTACTCTATTATATCTAACAGGAGAGACCGTGTTTGATCAGGTTTCCAAACACATTTAAAAATATAATACATAGTGGAGTATTTTTGACTAACGTTGAGGTGTTTGGAAATGTGGTCAAACACTATCTCAATTGTTTGATATATCTTCTCAATCAAAACTAAAACTTAATGGAAAACAGAGAAATAAAAGCATTAAAATCTATGNCAAATTCCTTGTTTGTACTTTACACATATTTGCTAATATACAACTCATTAAATCTGCACATGTCATTTGTCAAACCTTTGAGGAAGGTGTATGAAATATAACAATAATTTGTTGTAGTGAACCAGTTTTATATACTCTGAATAGTTTCAGATTAAAAACTGTCTTCAGTGATACAATAGTGTACATGTACAAATTGGTGTCTTTTGTTATAATTGTTTGATTAACTGATTCATTTTGTGGTTTTTTAATAGATAACTTTAATTCATTTGTTGATTTGTCATTAATGCGAGCCTATTAATGCTGCTCTCTTTGTTTTACAATGCAGAAAAGTATAATTAACAATCTAAATATTTCAACAGCGGACTAGGGACTGTCAACTTTTATAGAGAATTCTTTTGATAACTGTAAACCATGCTTGCCATAAAATATAATGACAGTAGTGTTTGTGACATATGTTCCAGCCACCGAGACAAAGACGATCTGAGTGAATTAATGTTTGTGACATTCTCTTTGTGTAACAAAGCTGTTCTTCCCTCTACAGAATACAGCGGATACAAAGAAGGAGGACAAAGATAAAGAATACACACCAACTAATGGCAACACCAACTACCAGATGTCACGAAGATCGAAAAAAGCTAAGGCTGAGGATGTACGTAATGATCTGGTCTTACTTGTAAATACCATTTTTATCTTGTCTGGTCATACCAGTCGGTATATACTAGTTATGCCATGCTTTTGAGGTGTATACCATGGAATATCTCACAAGCCATGTAAAGGCTTGTGTGTATTCCAAGAAAATGCAGGTGACCCCTGGGATATTCCATGGTTTGCCATGAGAAAGCCTTTATACCATGCCATAGAAAATACGGTGGCTAACACAAATGGTGCGATATATGTGCAGCACATGGGAAGGTTGGCTGTAAAACCATTGATTATACAGTGGCTTTCCTGTATTCTGATTGGCTGTAGGTCCTGTGACATGGTATAAATTGTTGTTGCAGTCTTGGCACAACTAATATATTATGTTTACTTTTTTTGCTCTTTCAGCTTGATTCCATAGACTTTGAAAATAATCCCGAGTTGAGGAAGCTGCAGTTTCTGGCTCCTGGACCTAAGATGGCTGGTTTAACAAAAGGAACCTTGTTACCGAAACAAGAAATAAACATTAAAGAAGGTGAGACAGTAAAATGGTAATGTGACTATAATCATGTTTTGCATGAAATCTAAAATGAAGCGAAAAGAAACACAATGCTCTGATTGACTGAAATTTGTATTTCTAATAACAGTGCTATGTAGAAGTATGGAAAAGTTTTCTATGAGCTGTTTTTCAAAAAGAAATGTGAAATATTTTGTCAATGTTTCATACACAGAAATGCTAAGTACTGAGAAGGTTTAAGAGAACTCCAAAATGCTGTGCAAGTACTTGACTACATGCAAATAACCTTTGGGTGTATAACATTTTTTATTCAGCCTGCATTGTATCTTCTACCCAATTTTTCTTTTACTCTGTAGAAACGTGGCAAATGCTTTGTATTTTGTAACTTTCTATCATGAATATTCTCTCACCTTATGAAATATTTGATACATATCTCTTATTAAGTTCTGTTCTGTGAGCTATGCTCCAATTTTTGTACTTGTAGATTTATTGCTCATGTGCAAAGTGGGTCATAAATCAAGGGGGGGAAATCATTAAGGATCTGTTTATCTTACAGAACAGACTGATCTCCGAGAAGGGAGAAGAGCTTTTTTTACTCAGAAAGCATGCATGTTTCAGGCCATACTTCAGAATATGGCCAGTAAAATCGACCAATCACACTCTTCATTCTATCTAAGAGATACCAGTGTGTGAATTCTGTTACATTTCTTTTTTAAGCTCTTTAAGTCTTGAATACAACATAAATGTGGTTTGTAAGCACTGTTTTGTGTTTACATTCTTATGGCCACAACATTTCTTACACACAGAACCTCAAGATAGCCCTGTGAAAATGGACGTGGAAGAACAGGGCAAAACAGAGCCATCACCTCGTAAAACCAAATTGACAGGGGACACCAGAGAGTCTCCTAGTAAGCAGAGGATGGCAAGACAGAAGCAAAGTGTCAAACTTAAACTTGAAGCTTTGATGCAGAAGGAGCCGGAGCTGACCAGGAGACGACCTGTAAGACAAGCCAGCAGGAAAAGCTTTTATTCTGACTCCCTGAATCTATTGTTGGTAGGTGCAATTATTTCCAACTGGTCAAGTGTCCCTCTCAGTCTATCCAAGAACTGAATCAGTTCATGAAAGTATTTCGTTAATATATTAAACACAAAGGACTGTGTTGACCACATTTCCAAACACTGAGAAGGAAGTTGAAAATACAATGCATGGTTGAGTAGTTTTGATGAACTTCAAGCATGGTTAGATTCTTGTACTCTGCATCTTGCAGTCAAAGATCTGAAACAAACAGTGAGAGAAGAAGTTAAATTTCCAGTAAATGATATGAGTTCTTTGCTCCTGGGAGGAATGCTTGATCAGGTTTGACTGTAATGTAATGACCTGGCAAGCATGTCTGAATGATTGAACCAAAACACAGTTAGTTAATATTCATCTTCACATGGAACTAGCTTGTAATGGAGGCTAATGCAGGGTAATATATTAAAAGAGATTAATAGCAGAGCTCCGGAGCCCCATTCCCATTTAGGAAAGAAAAGGAAACCCATGAATTGATTTTCTTATGGTTATCATGGCGAGCGGTGTTGCTTGTGGCCATGTATGCACGACAACGGCGATGGCAATGGAGTTGCGCAAGATAGTGGCCATACTCCAGCTAATAAGTTGACAGAGACATGCACCCTCGTTTTGCAGCCGCCTCCTTTGATATCGTACATCCATGTTATGTCAATTGACACCTGTCAAAACAAGGTATCCGCTGACCAGTATCACATGACTATATCATTGGTTCAAGTTTAGAGCTCATTGAGGTCATGTTTTTTTTTGTTTGTTTTTTTTTAAGTTGACCGCTGACCAAGTGCTGGTTTTTTTATTGGATTGTGGGCTCATTTCAGGTTAACTTGTTTTAAACAGGGCCGGGTTGTTCAGAAGCTGGTTAACGCTAACCCAGGATTACAAAAGTTAACTGAAGTATAATTTTTTCTTGTATAGAAATGTATTTCACTGCTTTTGTTTATGTATTTTGAGGACCTTGAGATTATTCCAACTCAAAACAGAAGGCCAAACAACATAAACAGAAAACCTCAATGTAAAGTTACAAAACTCGAATCAACAGGCTCCCTTATCGTGGGTTAGCTTAATTGGGGTTTGAACAATCCAGCCTAGGAGCTCTGCTTTTAGCCTTGGCTAAATCTATATATTATCATTTACATTTGAAAAGACTTTCCCCACGTTAGCCTCCATTGCAAGCTGGTTCCAGTCCAATACGTAAAATATGAATATGGCTTGTTTGGGTGCATATTCACATACATTTTAATACAAAGCCCTATAGCACAGGTACATGACCTTTAACCTATCATACCATGGTAGTGCATTGATTAGTTCAGTCTTCTTGGCTTACGATAAAGCACTAATTTGTTGTAATGTACTTTTTTATGTATTTCCAATTATCCCAGCCTGATGAATACCTTTGTCAAGTATGCAGTAAAGGTGACTCGGAAGAAAGCATGTTGCTCTGTGATGGCTGTGATGACAGCTACCACACCTACTGTTTAATTCCACCCTTGACGTCTGTTCCAAGGGGGGACTGGAGATGTCCAAGATGTGTTGCAGAGGTAAGGAACATCAAGTTTGATTCTTTGGACTGTTATTTTTAATTAAAGAACTTTGTCCAACTAAGACATGCTCAATTAAGGTACTGTAGTATCAAATACTTGTTTATTGAGTAATGAGTTAGGTTAAGCCTGACAGAAGAATAACTGGATCTTGGTCATTTCACGTGGGCTTCACTGCACTTGGTCTGTGTAGCTAAATTTACATCTAGAGCTAAATTTTCCCCATCCAACCTGCCTACTGAGAATGTAAAGTATTACAGTCAAACCTCTCCACAAAGGCCACCTTAAGGACAGAGGAAAGTGGCTGTTGTAGAGAGGTGGCTCTTATGGGGAGTTAGGATGACACCATTTTAGGAGGTGTACTAGCATTTTTAGTTTTCAAACAAAGTACTTATTGTAGCGTATAAATACCAAATACAATCAAAATATATCACTAATACAGAAACCAAACAGAAACAGAGACCAATGACACACAGTATGGATCAAGTTTTGTGGCCTTTTATAATAAAAAATTGGGATTTGTATACCATTCGTCAGTTGTTGATTAGCTGGTTGTTGTTGAGAGGTTATTTTGGTAGTTGGGACATGCTTTAGTGGCTGTTGTGGAGAGGTACATGTAGCCATTGTGGAGGGGTGGCCATTGTCTATAGGTTGTAGTTGTAGAGAGGTTAAAATAAGAGTGAATGTATGGGCCATCTGCCAGGACAAAAAAGCTGCCTAAATTGTAGAGAGGTGGCCACTGCAGAGGGGTGACTGTTAAAGGAGGTTTGACTGTAGTAACAATATTTAAACTTTTCCAGGAGTGTAATAAACCAGTAGAGGCTTTTGGGTTTGAACAAGCCAAGAGAGAATACACATTACAATCATTTGGAGAAATGGCTGATAACTTTAAGAGAGAATACTTTAAACTTCCACCTGAGGTAATTTAGCAAGAGTTACAAGCAATAAAGTAACCTTAGAAGAGTTAAGATTTTAAATTTATTGTGTCATTAACAGATAATTATGGCAGACTGAGGTGGTTTTGAAATCTAGACACTGAAGCTTATCCAAGATTCTGTAGCATATCACTCACTCAAGCCACTAGAAGTATTTCAATTCCCCTCCCTGGGTAGAGGTTGAACCTGCACCACTAGGTTTGGAGTCCAGGGGCC